TCGAACATCGTCGAGAAATATTTCAGACGTGCCGGTGTTGACAAAGAATGGCACCGGCGTGGCGAATGCGTGGCCAGCAGGTACAATGTATGGGTTAGATGACACATCTGATAAGCCGGCAGTGTATGTCGCAACTCCCCATTCTAAGAATGAAGAAGGGACATAATCAGTTTCATCTCGAGGGTTGTTGCTCATATCATAATCTAATGGTGAGACCCAAGGTGAAAAGAGGGCGGCACATTTAGGAGTTGGAATACCCAAATCGCTGAATTCCTGGATATACCGTAGGAGGGAGATAATAAGGTTACCGCCAGCACTATCACCACATAGCACAACCTGCTGAGCGGGAACTCCAAGTGTATTGATGAGATAAAGGTATGCTGTCAGGCAGTCTTGAAATGCAGCAGGAAAGGGGTACTGGCCAGCATAACCAGATAGTCGATACTGCAGCGAGACCACTGCATCGATACCAGTATCACCGTTTCCTATCAAGGTCTTGCATGCGTGGCTACACTCCTTGTTTCTGCCATTGTGCATGACAAACCCGCCCCCATGGATATATAAGGCAACTGTCTTTAAGTTGACGTCTTTGCCTGGGGCTTGCGGGAACCAGGTCACACCCACGGCCTCAGGGCTGACATTGGACGACAATAAGGGTCCTTTGTAGAGATCCAGTGAATGCGGATGGATAACTTGAAAGCGGTCGCCTTCTCTACCCGGCTCAAGCGAGATCTTTTCAGTGACGCCGATGCGAGCTTCCAAGTCTATGATAGCCTTGGCGATAGGGCGGGAAAGGGCCTGTTTCACCGACCACTTTGGATTTTGACGCGCAAGTAAGGCAACAATCAGCCAAAACGGAAGGCGTACTATAATGGTGATGGCATAGAGCAGATGGAACAAAGCATTAAGTGGCTGGCGAGAAACAGTCGGATGTTCTTGTGGGCCAGCCATGATGAACGTCGGGTGCCACCAAAACAAAACCAGAAAAATGATCGGGCGAAAAAGACTCGTGTGGTAAAAGCCACGCGGAAAGAGAACGCTGGCGGATGCTACCCTTTTGCAGTCAATGCCGCAACTTCGCAACGACCAACAGTAGAGCAGAGTGGAGGGGGGTCTCATTAACAATTTCTTGGCCTGTGCCTCGCCTGAAGCGGAGGAGGGGCAAATTGCCTATCAGGTCACCGGGCTGTCAGCATGCAGGTGCTGCGACGCTCGAGGTCTACGCCGAAAAGGGGTCGGGGCATGACTCCCGGTCGGGGAGGTCGGGCATTCCTACGGCCGTGGTGTTGCATCAGCCGCGTATATCCTCGACAGATGCTTCTTGTAAGCCCGATCTAGAATCCTGACTGGGCTGTTGATCAGCTACTCCATTGGGCAGACAGTCCACGTGCGTGCGATCTGGCTGTTGCAACCGGCTGTTAATCAGCTGTTGAACTGGACAGCCTCTTTGCATATGTGCGATTAGGTGCAACTGGGTTGTTAACCAGCTCTTGAATTAGACACTGATGAGAATTCGTATGTCTGCAATCTATTTCTCGTAACTAGACTATTGATTTACTGTTAAATTAGCCAGTCATCTTAGCGAGATCCGTCCAATGGCCGCTATATAATACGTAAAGTGATCCGACCCTCTGCGGAAGCCGGCTCCAGCCCACTGCTAGCCATCCTGTCCTTGTTATCCTCCAATCTTTATAGGAATGATGAGGGGCACCGTACTCACTCTCGCGGCCATGCTGATCGGCTCCGTTGGAGCTGCGTGTAGTGGCTCCTCCAGCTCGAGTGCCACGGTCACACCAGGGCTCAGGACCGATGCTACACCAAGCTCCAGCGCCGTGGCCACTCCCACCGTCACGCTCTCTGCCGGTACGGTGACAGGTGCCGTGGATGGAGGCGTCGAGTACTACCGTGGCATTCCCTATGCCAAACCCCCCACTGGACCTCTGCGACTGAAGCCCCCGGTGCGCCTTGAGAGCTTCGGCTCGATCCAGGCTACTGGTGTTGGCCCTGCGTGCCCTCAGATGACCGGTTATGAGATCACACCACTCCTGCTCGAGGTGTTGTTACTGCCAGATGCCCAGGAGACTCTGTTCTTTGGAACATCGCTGGGTGACGAGACTGAGGACTGCCTGACCATCTCAGTCATGCGACCGGAGGGCACAACCGCCGATGAGAAACTGCCTGTCCTGTTCTGGATCTACGGTGGAGGTTTCGAGATGGGCAGCTCACAGGCCTACGACGGAGCGGTGCTCATTCCCCAGTCCGTCGCCCAGGGCAAGTCGATGATCCTCGTGACCGTCAACTACCGTGTCGGGGCCTTTGGATTCCTCGGAGGAAGCGAGGTTTTGGCAGATGGAGCCTCCAACCTGGGTCTCCTCGACCAGCGCATGGGTCTGGAGTGGGTGGCAGACAACATTGCTGCCTTCGGCGGTGATCCTGATGCTGTGACCATCTGGGGCGAGAGCGCCGGTGCCATGAGTGTCTTTGATCAGCTTGCACTCTATGATGGTGACAACACCTACAACGGCCGACCCTTGTTCCGGGCTGCCATCATGAACAGCGGCAGTTTGACTCCCACCCAGCCCATTGACGGAACCAAGGCCCAGGATATATTCAACACGGTGGCCGAAGCTGCTGGATGCGGTGCCGCCTCTTCCAAGCTTGAGTGTCTCCGTGGGGTTGACTATGAGACGTTCTTGAATGCGTCGAACAGTGTTCCCACGTACTTGACCTATAGCTCCCTGGCGTTCAACTTCGCTCCCCGGCCCGATGGCAAGGTTCTTACTGCCAGCCCGGAAGTCCTCGCCCAGAGTGGCAAGTACGCCAAAGTCCCATTGATCATCGGCAACCAGGAAAACGAGGTAAGTAAACGTTCATCACGCATCGTGTATTCATTAGGACAGGCTGGCTAACGCATACCAAAGGGAACCGTATTCTCACTCTTCCAGGACCTCGAAACAGAGGATTCCTTGGTCGGTTACCTCAAGGAGGTCTTCTTCCAGAGCGCCACGACCGAGGAGGTCGCAGCCCTCGTTGCGACCTATCCCAGCAACCCCGACAGCCCTGGCGGCATTGGTACTACCATTACAGCCTATCCAGAGTTCAAGCGCCTCGCCGCTATTCTGGGCGATTTTGAATTCACCTTCATGTCCCGCCTTCTCCTCGAGACACTCCCCGATACCGTCCCCGCGTGGTCGTACCAGTCCACATATGCAAGCGGCACCCCGATCTTGGGGACCTACCACAGCACCGATATGCCTCGTCTGTTCTACAAGACTGACGATGTTAGCACGGCTCTCAAGGCCCTGTACATCTCCTTTGTGGCCTCGCTGGACCCTAATGATTACGAGGATGCGACCGGGTACTTGACCTCCTGGCCGCAATGGAAGGAGAACAAGCAGTTGTTGGAGTTTGGAGCCGAATCTACTCGGCTCATTACTGATGATGCTAGGTCTGGTAGCTACGAGTATGTCTGTAACCACCTAGAGGCTTTACGTGTATAATATCATAATTTAGCATAGAGAATCAACACTATACTCTACATAACACAACTAGGGATAGTGCCGTAAATGTCAACGTGCGTTTCTTCCACCTCTAGTTCACGATCTCGTGTCTTTTAGTGATTGCATATTGTTATTATACGGTAATCTCGCTCTAGGTCTACTAGACCTCAGTTGATGAGGTAACATGCCAGGAGATCCGAACGCTACAAAACATGAAGAGCCAATACTAGATTCACCGAAGTGAGCAATCCGTGGGAATGTGAGAGACATTCAATAACATCACAATTATAGTTCTCAAGACATGCATTTGTAGTCTTTTGATATGGCTTAACTCGGATATGTGGCGTGGGGAAGGACTCTCTAGTCCACAAGCACATTGCTCATCTTTCCTTGTGCAACTACAATTCTAATACATGCGTAAGTGATTGTGAGCCTACATTTATCAAGATGGAGTCGTCACAAAAATGTGGTGTTAGCACGAAGACGTTTGGCCACATAGCGCATACTACATAGGTAACTCGTCTCTCATTCACAGCCCACAGCACTGTGTGTGAATATTCAATAAATCATGAAGCGCGATGATGGAAATTCTATTCATAATCTCCTATAGCTAAATAAAATACAGAGAATAAGCTACAATTTGGAGCGTGAGACGGGTTCGCTATTCTCAAACTCGTATCACACATTCGGGGGCTTTGCGAGCAACATCATTACTCGCCAAATCCAATGGCATTTCAAACTCCAAAGTTTGCAATCATTCCCACGTTATATATGAATAAAGTACTAGCTAGAGATATTAACTTTAATGATTCGTACCGCCAAGAAAATAATTGGCATGACCAACACCTTGTACATCAAGAATGTAACCTATTTCGTCATGCCAAGGTTGATCCGAACCCGACAGTATGGCTCACCCCCCATGATTCAGTCCGTATGTGGGCCAGTCAGATGAAGCCTCGAGATGTCACAGCCCTATCGAAGGATCCTGTAACCCAATCCCTGGCAGCGGGTTCGGTGGCCTTTATTTAAATCGCGAAGTGACATTGCCAAGGTCTTGGCCAATGCTTCCTCGTCCATATCGCAGACGCCAAGCGCTTGGCTTAATGACGGCTATGGATGATAGGTAAGCATCGGCTGTAAGACTCAAATATACCGTGACTAAGGGCTTTGCGATTCCTTGGATGTATGACGTTGGGTTTTGGTCGGACTCGTCGTTCTACTGAAGGCCCGGTGTCAATATTCGACTCCCCATGAGGAAAGTATATGCTCAATATTTGTTTTTGCCGGCTATATTGCCATATGATAGGACCATAATAAGGTCCTTCTATTGAAAACAGCTTGTGAAAATCAATGAGATCGTCGTGTAAGCGGGCTAGTAGAAGTCCTTGCTCCGGCTCTGTGATTCAATTTTACCCTGCCATGGCGTGGTCTCGAATACAGATTTGCAGGACGGGGTATTGGTCATCGTGGAACCTAATAAAAGTGAGAATATCATAGAAATTAGTCATTGAGCTCCTTCATTCGCTCCCAGGTGGTAAGGCCAGTAAGAATAGCCATCGCCTCCCACGTGGGACTATAGTGGCTCCCCGTCCTTCCCTTGCCTCTGAAGGAGAAGCGCAGGAATTTTGTAAAACTGTGGCCGTTGGGTACACAGATTGCCAGTGTCTCGTCCACATTGGAGAGATTAACAAGCCTCCAGCCAGAGTCTTTGCCGCCGAGGCTCTGCACCTCCCGCGAGCTGCTCTGTTGCCACTCAAACTGTTGCCGTGAGGTATCATCGGCACCATGGGCAGCCGCCATGGCTTGCGCGGCTGAAAGGGAATACCGCAGCCTGATCAGAGGGTGCCAATATGTACCTTCGTCCACTGTCACCAATCTTTCTTCAGCTGGCTGAGACCCGCCCAGGGGTGAGACGGTGATGATGAATTCGTCAAAGCGTCGGTCGCTGCCAGAGACCCAGGCGTTTCTCGAGGTGCCTATGGCCGGATCCCTCGTGTTCAATCCGTCATGTAGGATGATTGAAGGGTTAGGGGCAGCCGCCAGACTGTTCGGGCGGAGGGTGAGAGCAAACTGGCGGTCCTTCTGGTGCGGCCCCATGTAGTAGACGTCGCCGGTGGCACTTCCGCTGTATATATTGAAGTCAAGGGGCATCAACCGGGCCTCAGGCACTACTGGTCCAGCTGTTGCAACATGAACACGCTGTCCTCGATTAGAACTCCCGCTATTGTTCTGTCCAGTCGTGATTTCTTCGTATGGCGGTGGTGGATCTGACATGGTCGCAAGGCAGAGCAGCTGTTGAAGCGACGACAGACCGGGACACTCAATTGAGCGATGTGTCTAGGGCAAATCACCGAGATAATAAGGAGCCCGGAATAAGAAGGAAGGGAAGCGCTGCCGAATACCTTACCCATGGAAATCCAATCGCGAGTTGTTGCTTTCGCGTGTATGTTGGTTGATGGGGGTGGTTTCTTCAGGCGCTACAGTGGGTGTGTTGCCCATTTGACTGCCCCAAAAATGGAGTTCATGCGCTGCTCAAAGTCCCATCGCGGAATTTAATTGCGACCCAATCACCAGCGTGCAATTCTTCATGTCCTCACTGCTGCCTATTTTCTACCCTCTTTCGTTCATTCAATGGAACGAAGTCCAGGGGTGCAAATTTGCATAAATTCCCTGAGCCTGCCCTCAATCCCTCTCTCTTTCAATAACCCCATTCTTTGACGATTAAAAATTCTAGTCTGTGTTCTCAGTTGTTGCGAATCGCCACCAGTCATCAATCAATTCAACCGAGATGGCCATCGTGAGGAAAAAGCCCACCCTCAGGCCATGCGACATCGACCCCGGACGGCGACACCGAGCGCGCAGCGACTCTGACGGTGAAGCACCAATTGCCAAGCCGTCGCCTAGCAAGATCCAGCAGATTGGCCAAGGCTCGATAAGGCTTGCGCAGACGTCGGCGAGATGCGTGCAGAGCGGCACCAGGTCCATGGCGGCTGCTGGTCTGGCGAACCTGAAATGGATTCTTCTCATCTGGCTGATGTACTATCTGTGGACTCAAATTCGGCAGGATCCCGGATTTAGTGGGAATTCTGCCTGGCTACGGAGCAAGTATCCCTCTTGCCTTCGCAATCAATGGGGATTCTTTCCCATTTAGCGGGTATAACTACTGATGCTGCGACATCGACGCGCCAAATGGAAGAGTAGGAGATCGTATCAAAGTCTTCGTCCTTGACTGCTTCCATGGTCTCTTATATCAGTCGAAACTAAAAGAAAATAAGCTTGGAGGAGAGGTATATAAGAGGTGAGCACACATAAATCAAGTCTGTTTAAATCATCATTAAATGTTAAGCCATAGATCATATAGCTTTCAGCGGCTTCTCATTTTCTACATGCTGTCCTTGCTTCACCCTTCGCCTCCTAATGTTCACCGAGTCTTTCCACAAATGGTGGTCTCCTTGCCGCCGCGAGAAAAGGAAATCAACTGGGAATTCTAGGTCATCTCCTCGATCTCATGAAGTTCATACTCGTCGCCATTCATGAGAAAGACAATATCATTCCCGATCTCTCATATGCCAACATGCGTAGGTCTATCTATACTGAGAAGCATTCGCAAATACCTTCCAATCGCTGTTCTTGAAGTGCCGGGACAATTAAAAAACTCGATTTGGCATCGAAATTTGCCGAACAAGGATTCATACAGGGTGACGATGAGGTGCCACATTGAGAGATCCGCGAAGAGTTGCTGAGTTCTAGGAGCTGCCTACATGTACTCGCCCCTGTCCATCAACAATTGGGCGAGCGGATGGTGGTTTTTCGCGGAAACATCCGTGTTCCTATTTCCAGACTAAATCAGCATGGGTTATTAGATTGTGTACCTAGCCTATTTTATCTACATGAATCTGAGAAAATTATGTAGTTTATTTTGTAGTTGAAGGTAGCCAGGAACTACTTGTAATCGAGCTGAGTGGAAGTTGTCACAACACTGAGTGCAAAACAGTCATAATGTCACAATCGGAGACTTCGGTTGATGATGGATCCCAAAGAACAATAAGCTATAATTTGCTGATGCTTATTTTGTGTGCTCTAAACATACTGGGATCGCATTGATGATGACAACGGCTGCCTATTACAGCTTCCCGTAAATCAAGTGCTGTGATTGGCTACTCCAAGTTTGTCTCACTGATGCTCCCCATCCAAATTCAACCTAAAACAACTGCTGCTTTTAGAAATCCATGAAATACCAATCCTGGGCCCACTGACCATAAAAGATTGACTCCAATAAGATTCCGTAGCATAAAGCGGCAAGGGCTTCTCTCACAGGCATCGCCGGATCTCCCTACGCAGAATATAATAGCGAATGAAATAGCACCCCACCAATATCTAGCTTGCGTGTAGACAACATTATCATTGGTGGTAACGATAGCATGATGATGACAGGCGCACCCGTGCTTATTCTTGGTCCATGTGACGTTGGAGGTCATTGCCACCGCACCGCGGGTTATAAATTAGAGGGCTCTGCATAATGTCGGCCATAGATGGTCGCGATTCACTTGCTTTGGCCTTCAATTTTTTCATATCACATCGGAGCTCAGCCACAACATGAATTCAGCTTTGTTGGACGCCGCGACGTTGCAGCCGATTCGAATTCCAGACCGTGCGATGTGGCTCCAACTACTACTGTTCTCGCCCTTGCTCTACATCGCATGGAACCTCATTAGCCTGCGGCGGAATATTGCAAAATGTCGGTCGATGGGCGTGCCTGTTGTTTGGATCCCCGTCGACCACAGGAACTTCTTCTGGATGCTCGTCCAAGGCTATGTCTGGGACTTCATCGATTCTTACAACCGCCCCTGGTCTTCCCTCCCGACATATATTCGGTTCACCCGCCCAGGATGGCAATTCTACGACAAGGGCGACACTCACGTGAGGCTGGGCCCCATCTGGGCTCTGGTTACGCCCGCGAACACATTCATCAATGTTTCCGATCCCAAGGCCATCGAAGCGATGGTAAATCATCGAAAAGACTCTGTTTCTCCGGTGGAGCAACCCAGCAAGCATTGTCATTGAAAGTAGGTTTTTAGTAGGTTGGGCTAATTGTCATACGGCGGCTGACGTATCAAATAGAACGCCTCAATTTCAACCAACTCGTATTCTAGAAAAACTTTCTGGTGGCTTGATGCGACGTCTGTTCTATTTGATGAGCCAGTGGCGGAACTTTCTGCGATCATCTGCCTGGCGCATGGACGCGGCGCATCAAGTCGACTGTAACCGGGCGAGCGCTCGAAAGGATGCTTGCTGTACTGGAACTTTGCCCCATCGGCGCCTTTGGCTTGATCAAGCTTTTTGATCCTTACACGACTCAGATGTTTCGAGAATCCCATGATGAAAAAGTTATAGCTATCTTGGTGTGACCTAAAATAAGGTAGTTTTTCGCTCGTATTCATTCTCCCCCAACTTCATCTCTTCATTCTGATCGGAGGGATCAACCAGGGCGGACATACTTGAGGGATGGGGATTGTGGCGCCCAAGTCAGATCTAAAATCTGATCAGATGGTGGCTATGCATCATTTGAATTTGAATCCATGAAAAAGAATAGAGCGTAAATTAAAAGCATGCAATCGCCTTGGCGTGGTTTTATCTGGAATCGTGACTTTGTCAACTGTATGGAGAACAATTCTGATGTGCTTGTGAAGTGAAACCCCACGGCTACTGTCGGGAAGCCCATGTTCCAAAGTCAAGCTCAACATGAATACTTAGATGAGGTGGTTGGTCATCCTTCTGAGATCAAGTGACTCTTGGATGGTATGGTGGGTTGTCATAACATGAGGCGTAAAAAGGAAAATTCGCATGGCCAAATCTAGATTGGGTCATGGGTAAAAACGAGCAACGGCGAAATTGTGGCTGAAAGCTTCCATATAAAGATTGACTTCGAGGTGGTGATTTACTATTGCCTAGCGGAATCAAACTTGAGAAAGGTGAAAGTTTCCCACACGATCGACCAATCGGTGGTTTTTTTAAAGAAACAAAGACCAAAAGCCAACGCTTGACACTTGACGTAGCAACTTAGCCGCCAGCCTCATGGATGAGAGTTCGAGTATAATGTCTTACACTTCTCTACTCTACTCGACTCCTACTAAAAAGTTCAACGAACCAAAACTAAGGGTATGCCACACGGCGGAAAATTTTCACACTCAAGATGAGCCACCAGCCTCCATGGCAGCCGACGAAGGGTATATATATTGGCCCTCGCTGCCCTTTCCCAGACAAACAATCCTCAGAGAGCAATAGCAAACCAGTCAAGAATATCTTTCCAAGTTCAAAACACCAAGACCTTCCGTTTAACGACCTTCCGTTTAACACAACATGAAGCTCCTTCCCATCTTGGCATCCGCGTTGGCGGTTGCAGACTTTGCCGCTGGCGTGCCGACGTCAACGGACGCCAACAAGAGCAGCAACAGCAACAAGAACAACAACAGCACCGTGGACAAAAATTACCTCTTGATCATCAAAGACGGAAACAGCAACAAGAACAAAAACTACCTCTTGACCATCGAAGACAGCAACAGCACCTTGAAAAACAATGACAATGACACCTTGATCAACAAGGACAGCAACGGCACCAACGGCACCATCGAGGACAGCGAGAGCGAAATGAGGAGCAAGCGCGCAGAACTCGAAGATCCCATCCCCGGGCACGTCCAGATAAATGACACGGAGGCAGAGAGATTCGTCGCCAACAATTCTATTCTCCGTACAGCCCAGGGAATGCCCTTGCCCATGCCCTTGCCCAAGGACGTCTTCAATGAGTTCAAGTGCATCGGGTCTAACCACAAGAATTCCCCCCGAATGAGCTTGCAGTTCAAGGGATACTGCGAGGAGGAATACGGGCGGTGCTTCCTTAGAGCTCTGCGGGAATATGGAACCCTCGTCCATAACTGGCAGTGCTGGAAGCGCGACGACGGGTGGTGGCAGGTTGATTACACCCATCTCCTCGGCGAGTAAGTTGGTCAATGAATTACCTTGCTCTTGAACATTGTGCTAATATCTTCGACTCATAGTAGTTACCTTGGCCTGTAAGTTGATCAATGAATTACCTTGCTCTTGAACATTATGCTGATAGCTTCGACTCATAGTCCTCGTGGTAGCGATCCTGTGTTGAACGCCGCGCTTGCTCAGGTCATCGGATACGACCCACACTGCACATTAAAATAGTCAATACATTGGCCTGTAAGTTGGTCAATGAATTACTTGCTCTTGAACATTGTGCTGATAGCTTCGACTCATAGTGATACTGACGATCGACGTATTGAACGCCGCGCTTGCTTCAGTCATAGGATACGATCACATTTAGACTGGGTTTCGTGAAAAGCTTTGGATAGGAAGTTCGAGTTTCCTTTACGTCTAGGTCGTACGTAGGTGGAAAGTCGAATGTGTGTACTTGCGGTAGGTAAAGCCACTGGCGCATTACCGTGGGCTATGGGCTATGTGGCGATCCAGGCATGTCTATCAACAATGCTACATATACATGCCTGGAACCTCTGCAAGCACCTTGATTATTCACAGAACATGGAGTATTGGGTTTGATTTTGTTTGGTTCTGATTTTGATTGGTTTTAATTTTGTTTGTTTTTGATTTTATTTGTTTCAAATAAAAATATCCTTAAATCCCACTATGCCTTGGTCCAACTCTCGTGAAAATGTATCTACATCCTCGATGAAGCGTAATTACCAGTCCATCGTTCCACATCTTCCCTCCTCCATCCGAGTATCTCACAACTATACAGTCCAACATATATAAATAAACCCACCGACTACATATTAAGCTGACTATCGACAGCCTCCTTCTTATTGGCACGTCTAACCCCCTTTCCCTTCGGCATCCTGAAAAGCCAGTACAACCCCATTGCACATCCAATATTGAAGAGAACATACACCCACATCAAACCAAAGTTCCTCCAGCTATCCTTGATATATATCTCGAACCGGGACAGAAACTGGTCCGTTGTCCTGAGGGGACAGTATCTGCACTCATCTGTCGATTCTGGATTCAGCAGGAACCCACCAGCGGTATCAGCAAACTCTGACAAGAATGCGCCGCAAGTCGAGTTGGCCGGTGGGATCAGGTGAAGTATCTCGGCTGTGGAGCATGTGACGTTTGCGCCGCCGATGGCTGCGGACATGACGCCTCCGACCAGATAGGTGGCAGGGGAAACAGGGAACATCCATCTCCAGAAGTTGGGGAAGTCCACGGGTGGGATTGCAACACTAAGACACGCGTCAGCAAAGTTTCAAAGACGATTTTTTTTATATTGACGGATCAATTAGATCCTTAGATATCTGCCATGGGGGGTGACTTACCCGCAGAAAACCAACGAGAAAATCCAAAGTAGTGCAGCGAGGACACCTGCTACTTCGGCGGTGGGCATCCAAGTGATCGCAAAGTGAGAGAAAGTACTCGTAAACAACATAAACATCCATAGAAACAAGAAGACCTGGAATCCGCGCAGAGCGGTATTTTCGGCCGTGGTGTTGATGTAGAAGCCCACGGGGTAGTACCAGCAGAAGTAAGCCGCGACAGCCATGAATGTATTCCAGCAAGCCTCTACTAGGATGTTCGTGAGGAGGAAAACTGGGCCGCGTATATCAGTAATTAGTCGTTCATGATTAAGATGTACCAAAGGCACTCACCTGTCCATTTGTAAATCTTCGAAGATCGTTCGCGGACTTCGAACAAGGCCCGCTGCGGCTCAAACATGGGCATGATCTGCTCGTTGATGTTCTGGAACATGATAAGAAACATGAAGATGGCGTAGAGTTGGTTGTGTAAGCCCTGAATGGTATTCTCCGCGACGAAACTAAATCCAATGAAAATCGACTAGAGACGCAGAAAAATCAGTAGGACGATCAAGATGCTAGAGTCAGTAGTCTTACCGAAACAACGACCAGGATGGTCTTGGACCATATGTACACAGGCGAGCGCCAAAAGTGCTTCCATGTGCGATCGATAACGAGTAGCATCTGAGTCCAAAATGAAGCCACAAATTCCCGATGCTGGGATGCTTCACCGGTTCTCTGAAGGGCTGTTTCCTCGTCGGCGCTCGCGAGGCCTCGCAGTCGTGCCAGCTCGGCTTTGACATCTTGATACTCAGGGGAAGTACGCCACGTATTGTGCCAGTCGATACCGTCGCTGCCATCCAAGCGGGGCTTAATGACCTCAAGCATCCATTCTGCTTGATTGCCTTCGACGGGGCATTTCTGGGCGCCATTGCGTTCAAGATAATCAATCAACTTTCTTGATTTATTTCCAAGTTCTGATACACATCAGCGGAAGTTCATATACCTTCTTTCGGCCATTGGAGCTGATCGGGCTTACCTCCAAAATACACCGTCTTCCCACCTGGTGCGAGCAATAGCAATCTATCGAACTGATCAAACAGAATAGCCGAAGGTTGATGGATTGTACAGAGTACCGCTTGACCATTCCGGGTAAGCTTCTTGATCAACTGGCAGATAGCCCACGAGGTCTGTGAGTCCAAGCCAGACGTTGGTTCGTCAAGGAAGAGTAGAAGCTGAGGTCGGGCTGCTAACTCGACACCGATGGTGAGACGCTTTCTTTGTTCAACATTGAGACCTTCCCCGGGAACACCCACAACAGCATCAGCGAAGCTTTGCATCTCAAGCATTTCAATAACCTGATCAACATAGGCAATCTTTTCTTTGTTTGGAATTTCAACAGACTGACGCAGTAGGGCGCTGAACTCGAGAGCTTCTCTGACTGTAGAGGTGTTCAGGTGTAAATCCTGTTGCTGGACGTAGCCAACACGATGTTGGAAGGAATTATCTGTTGGGTCGCCATTGATTAGTGTGTCACCGGTTACGACACCCATTGTGACTCGATTGGCGAGGGTATCTAGTAGCGTAGTCTTGCCAGCTCCCGAAACACCCTGGAAAATCAAAGTCAGTAAGTCTTTTCAGCAGGGTTCGACTTCGGCTCATACCATCAGCGCAGTGGAAGTTCCTGGCTTGACCCAGCCATCAACATGATCCAGGATGCGGCGGTTTTCCTTCTTAACCTGAATATCGTAGCAGAGATCTTCCCAGTGGAATACAGCTGTATCAGTGGCCAAACCGACACCCACATTTGAGGAACTATCCTGTTGTTTTTCGACACTGACATCACGGCGGGGAGCCTGTAACTCGATGTCCTTGGCGCCTTTCTTGTCCGGTTGGTTAGGCATTTTACCCGAAGGGAAGACTAGAATCTCGCCTTTGCTCTTTGGGGGCTTAGCAAACTCGGCGGCCAGAATGTATATGGCAGAGAAGAAGCACCAGAAGGCGCATAAAATTCCTATATTTCTAGTTGGTATCGTTAGAGTCTATCATATACAGCTAACTAGCCAACAAGTGCACTCACCTCCACTTATGTGTATTGCAGTATTCGTAGGTCAGTCCAATGTACCTGTCCCCGTCGACGGTTGTTGAGCCTGGGAGAGCACCTACGGATGAACAAACCTGGGACTCGATAGGAATGCCATCGTATCCGGGTCCTTGTGGGATGATCTGGGCGCAGGGAAATTGCCTGTTGTGGAATTCATTCACCATAAGAGCCTCAAAGGCATATGCAAAGGGGTTGATGTAATTGATCCATCGAGACCACGTAGGGATATAGTTAGTAGGAATCGTATACCCTGTGTAGATCATGAATGCGAAACTCAGGATTGCGCTGGGTGCCATTGCCTGGTATGCGGTCCTTGTGATGTTTGCTAACCACCGATACAGAGAGGACATGACAAGCGTGAGCAAAAACGTTGTCAAGCAGAAGAAAAAGAAGTGACCAGCACCGGGGCGCAGATGGGCGAGGAAGTAGATGATCGCGTTGAAGATGAACATGTTGACAGTTTTGTACGGAAGGTCGGTTAGATAGCTCGCAATTGCCTGGGTCGATTGGTGGTAGAAGGCATACTTATGATGCTTCTCAACCACGGGTCGCTCGACGTAAACAGTCAAGACCTAGGGGTTGTATTGGTATCAGCATCCAATCAGTGAATTGGCAGAAAAATGTTCCTGCTTACCTCCAATTGGCTGGCGAAGGCATTGAACAAGATGGCAAAGAAGACAACTGATCCTTTATAATACAACGATGAGGTATCATCCTTCATGCCGTAATTCATGCTACCAAGCAGCAAGGCGACAATCTTGTTGAAAAGGAGATTGGCTACTGTGAATGTTGGATCTGCTTTCAAGCGTACGTATCCTCTCCACAGCGTCAACCGCACCTGCTGAAAATACGAGATGGTGTAAGGAGACCGAAGTCGCTGACTCTTTGCCTGCTCCGCCCGCCTCGAGTTGTTGAACTCTTCCAGACGTTCTTCAGACGGGTGCTTCTTTTCGTATGCGTTGAGTTCGTCTATCAACCGGCTTCGGTGTTCACTGTCGCGCCATCGAGCAGCAAACTCGTCAGGGCTTCGAGGGACTCGGTTTTCAAACCCAGGCCTTGGGTGTCTCTCGCCTGGGCTTGTCATGGAAGTCAGGAAGTCTGGCGTCGTTTGTCGATTGGGGCCTAAACGAAAGCGTCTTTGTCAGTTCAAAGCACCCAGTATCTAGTTTGACGCGAAAGGAGAACATACAATCGAACCCTAGGCTTTCAAAGTATTCCTTAGCTTCCGAGATCTTACCAAAGAATATCTGCCGCCCTTCGTACAGTACGATGACGCGGTCGAATTGCTGCCAGATTCAAATTAGCAACTCCAGCAATACCAGTTGCTAGTAGGAGGATTTCCATACCTCATAAGCAGCCTGGGGTGCTTGGTACAGTGCAACGGCAGCAGCAATACCCATCATATCAGCTTGCAAGCGCAAGTTCTCGCAGAAGTTAATAGCATTGGCACTATCAAGACCTCGAGTGCTGTTGTCCCAGCACTGGAATTTAGCTCCTGTTAGAGCAGCTTCGGCTATACTGACTCGCTTCCTCTCGCCACCACTGACACCCCGTACAAACTCATCACCGACACGAGTGTTGAAGGTGTGACCAATGCCAAAGGTTGCCATCATCACATCGCGTAGCGTGTTGTCAACTTGCTCTCTTGTGACGCCCTGCGGGACGTGGCGGGCGGAACGACATCGGGCAGCGAAGGTGAGGGTTTCTCCGACTGTGAGATGCGCTAGATGTGCGTCGACTTCGGCGTTGTACAAGACGTCGGCGCGGAGGCTCTTTTTAATGTGGGCGGGATCAATGCCTACCGGAACGTTCATTTGTTAGCCCATCGACCACAGTAAGCGTAGTAAGAGAGGCCATCACAGCCTGAGGGGTAAACTTGCCTCTGTAGTTTATATAAGAGTCAGGGCTGACTTTGAATCCTGACGTCTCAGTTGCCAGCGTCTTCAAGAGCGTTGAGCATCCGGATCCAGGAGGGCCAAGCACCAACAGAAGCTCTCCTTGTTCGACAATACCCTCGAAATCTCGCAGAATATCAATTCTTCTACGCCTCTGATGTAACCCAAGCATATTTCCCACAGCTGCCAGTGTTCGCAGTACCATGTTAGTCACTGTTGGCTGGCTCTCGGTACCGCTTGTCCAACCATAAGTACTCAAATTTCGAAAGGCGACACCGAGAAATCGTGGAGGGGTCATCTCAGGATCATACTCAGTCAGATTAATGAGTGCTCTGACCCATGAGCGGGCATCAAAGGTCGGTGATTTGGGGTCGAGTTGGCTGCCAGGTTTCGGATCATAGGCTTTCAATTCGGCACTAAGGGACTGGGAAGCTCCGGTGAGCTGTCTAGCAATAGACAACAAATCATCTTCTAGGCGTCCCTGGCCAAGAATCGGCTCATTAGACGTCTTAGGGAGCTTTTCATCTGTCATAGTTCCTGCAATGAAGCTTCGAAATGAACAGGATCGGGGGTCCTTGAGGCGGACCGAGGTCATTCGTCGCCCGAGTTGCGGCTACTTCCTCACTAAATGGAAACTCTGCCCCTAAGATACATCAACATGAAAATTAGAGCTGAATATCCGACCGAAAGCTTCTATGAGAGGGGATAAACTTGTTAGCCGTCTGCAGCCAAATAAGTTAACGTCTGGTGGGTAGAGTGGTGATAAATCATACATACTGAAATAGCTGAACAGTGCTTCAAAAAAATGGTGCAATGGACTCTCAGCAAAGTATTATATAACACGCAATGCGAATTAATGAAATTGCGGCATCGAATGCGGTATTCCCAACCCATATCTCAACGCCAGGGCCAACATGCTTGGCCCCGCGGTGGTTGTGCATGCAACAGGGATGGGGGATATTGTGCCAAGCTCCGAACACCGCGGCAAACCTAACGCGCGCCATGCCACATCAGTCTTTCTCGCATCGGAAGCTTGCGGCTACCAATCATTTTTCTGGCCTGCAGCGGGACGCTGTCTATTAGGCAGTGCTGGCTGAGAGCACCGCGGGGTTCAAAGGGCGGTACCAACAAGACTGAGCTCCGTGCCTTGCTCCCTAGGAGATAGTGAGGCATTGGTTGTTGCGGACCGCTCAACGATAATGGCGTGATACATTTCAATGAAGGATGAGGAGTTCGTGCGGGTAGGGCCAAGTCCGCTCTGCCGTCCAGAAGTCGCCATGCATTCAGATTTGAGAGCATCGATACGGAAGACGCGACGATGACCATTACGTAAGGTACCTACCCACAAATTATTACACGTGATCCACATTCCCCAGACATGCATCACATTGCTCAGCACCAATTACCTTACCCTATATCCCATTATGACGCAATGGGTGATTTTGATTTCAAAGGCGAAAGTACCAACAACGCAACATATAATGCGCTTCTATCGGTATATTATGCTTCACAAGCACGAGCTGTTATTAATTAAGTTGCATCTAGACTTGTCAAAGCTTTTCCTATTGTTTTCCCCCTTCATTTTATAACTGGGCAGGTTCCAAATGAAACATTCTTAGACTTTGGATTCCATAGGCTGACATACGCCGAATCTAGAAACTTCCTATGAAGTCTCATAAGATGCAAATTCGTGCGTCTATCACTTTCACTGTGACTCGGTATTTGCATGATTGGTCATAAACAACAAGGTCCAGGCATTATTATGTCGAGCCGACCGGCGCTACAAATGTGAGTTTGATGAAGCGTCTGCAGACTGAGGCAGCCGAAGCGCGCTCCGGGTGTTAATCCGGAGCTAGCCTCATTTCGCCAGTGTCAACATTGAAATGACATTGACCAGCTGCCCCCTTTTCCCGCGTTCCATCTCAACCTCGATCTACCCGTATCATATTTTAAATAAGGTATATTCTTCCCTCTACATACCCTACTACTGTATCCGGGGCTCCTTGATGCAAGGCAGCTAGAGCGGGTCACGGCCATAGTAGCCAATAATACTGCATTGTCTCCTAGAGACTTCGTGTCGCATCAGTTAGCGTCGGGGCAGGCTAAGATTTTAGCATCATTAAGCCATCCACAACGATCATCTTACTATCAAGTTTTATTAGAGATGCCGCCTATTCGGACACAGGGTAAGAAACGAGGAGCAGCAGCGGCGCTTTCAAGTCCGCTCAAAGCTCCCGAGCGTGATGCACCAAAGCGTGCTGTAACCCAAAGGACTATTCAGTCTTTTTATACTCCGGTAGAGCGCGCAACGGCTGCGGCCCAACGAGAGACCATATCGACAGTATCAGCCCCTGCGCAAGCAACTAGTGGAGGAGTCGATGAGGCCCATATTACACCTAAAGCCGCAGCAACAGACGGAACCCGAGAATTACAAGAGATTTGCGAAAGTTCAGCTGCTTCGGCAGGGCCTGTAGTCAAAGGGGCTGCTGCGACACGCAAGACCTGGTCACTACTCATGAATGGGGCGCAGAACGAGGGGGAGAAAGAAGCGTATTTTCGGGGGAATCGGGAATGGGAAACACATCATCGAAATTGGCTTGGAAAGAAGACCAAGATGGTGAGATTTGGCTCTGAATTCGTTCTGCAAGAGTAAGTTACCCTCTCCTCAACATCCCGCGTACAGCCAACCTCGGACGCATACTGAATATTAATGCAGTGAACATATAAATGAACTGATCTCACTTGGGCCTCATATATGTCGTAATCTGACGCACTTTGAGTTCGGTTACAGTGATGTGAATTATGGTGCTAAGAACTCGGCTGAGGAACTCACGGACGAGGCTGTGATTCGTCTTGTCGAGTTATGTCCCAAACTTCGCCGCATGCAGCTTCAGGGAACCTCAGGCCTCAAGGATATCACGCTTGAAGCTATATTTGAGTATTGTCCAAACATCTCTTACGTAGAGATCACTACAGCTAGCAGGGGTGGATTCAATGGGCTGAATGGATCGGCCCTTGATACGTTGCGGGAACATCCTGATTGGGGCACCAAGTTGAAAACTCTCCGGCTTCCAAAACCAGATAGTTGCTCGGGGCGCGATCCTCTCACGCGGGCAGTGCGTGCTCTCACCAAGGAAAGGAACAAGCTCTCAGTCCAGCTTGTCAGTGTCTCTGAGCGCAAGAAATGGGGAGATTGGGAGTTAGAAATCTATCATGCATTGTTTCGTAAAGGAAGGATACAGAATGGCTATTGAGAAGAAGATCGAAGTCTCTGATTCAATCGTGCAAGAGGATTCAGGTCTATGTATTTGTATTAAGGATTTTGAGAAATTTTAATTGCAACATAAAATGATACCATCCATATGGCTATGGTTAGTGTCTAAGGTCTAATGGCGACCAAATCTCATCGTATAGAGAACATGTTGAAGAGTATGTTAAGAGCTTCTGGCGCTAAGTAATTGCCCCCGAGAGACTAGTTTTACTTGAACTCCTGGGCGGCCGAGACTTCAGCGTTCACTTTCTCTCTTTCTGCGTTGATCTCACTCACTGTATCAGTGTGATCAACTCCTAGGATAATATCATCACCGGTGAATGGACTGTCTTGACCCAGCCCCGGAAGTGGAAACAGTACACTGATTCCCCAGAATAAGAAAAAACTCCATATCATACCAACGATGAATGTGAGGTTGTAGAGTCTCTTCCAATTGTCGTATTGCCCTCCCTCGTACGCATTTACCGTGGCTACTAGACCCGCTGTACATATATTAGCAGATAATCTTGCGATGAGACCTTGCAATATTAACTTACGAAGGAATGGCCACATGCCGAGGAGGAACACAACAAACGCACGCCAGTTGACGCCTTTTTGGAACCAGTAGATCGATGAAGAATCACCGACGTATAGGTCGTCCAGCTTAAGTTTCTGTCGTCGAACTACGAGATAGTCTGCGAGCATAATTCCACTGATGCAATATTAGCAGGTGTTCAGTGGAAGCAGTAAGAATTGAACGTCAAGAATAACTTACGTCGCTGGTGCCATGAAAACACCAAATCCACTCAAGACCTGAAGGAACTTGGTTCCTGTTGTGAGGAGTTGCCAGGGCCTAAGTGAAACGGTTAGAATGTTTATTGATATCAGTGATTTGATGCTAAAACATACTGAACCGCAATGCCAATCACGGCCATAATGTAACCACCACGGCGGATATTGATGTACTTCGGCCACAATCCGGCCATGTCCATTCCACAAGAGACGGAGTTTAACACGACTGAAATCTATGCACCGACTTAGCATTTCGTATATGACATAAGGACTGAACCAACTCACCGACATCTGCGAAGCCACCAAACCAAGACTCGCAAAGAACACAGCGGCTCTCACTCCAGAACTAGAATCGTAGTGATCCTGGATTTCCGCGAGAAGAGCAATTGGGCTCCAGATTATTTTGCCACCAAGAATATCGCGCGAAGCGCTGGTGACGATAATTCCAAAAATTGCTGTCACGGTAATAGTCATGGGAGATGCGATGAGCTGCGACATGATGGGAGCGTGCTTCGTCTTGGCGTAACGGGTCCAGTCGGATTGTCCGAGAGTTCCCGCACCCCAGGAGCCGAGAATTGAGGTGATACCAAACGCAAAAGCCCATCCAACATTGGGGGTAGAAGCGGGCTGGTGGAAAGTAGAACCGACTCCATGGGCCTGAGATACGCTCCTGGAGGAGATATTAGGTGGGCACGTCTTGATTTCATCCACAATGATGCTTCTTACCATGACAGCAATCCAACACACGTTCCGCAGAACAGAATAAAACACACCACGAATGGGATTTGAAGCTTTTCGGGTTTGATGAGGATGCAAGGGACAAAGCCACACATCCAGATGACGAGTCCAATGAAGTCTTTAGTCTCAAGGTGAGAGCTTTCGGCAAAGTAATTCTTCATGTGAGCCAAACCTTTGAATGAGAAATTAGCAGGATCCCCAATGCTGTAACAGGCTGGGGTTTTGCCTACCTGGAATGATGGCGCCAATCAATACGCGGGTAGCCTGTCCACCCCAGAATGCTTGAATTCCGAACCAAATGCATGAAACGAAAACTCGGAGGATGACAGGGACTATAAAGCTTCATTAGTAAGGAACGCGGTCGTGTCGACGTGAACAAACACTCACAGTACGAGCCTCTCATGCCCCAGGAGAAGCGGCTTGAAACAGTAAAGCCAATGTGGTGATGAGCTCCCATCCATCCACAAGCAACAGCAATGATACCGGTTATCACAGCACCAACGATCTAATAAATTGAAAAACATGTAAGTATTTTGAGACAATGTAGTTAAGAGTTCGCGTTCAAACGTACGACGACACCGATGGCTTGCTGTGGGCTAAGTCCAAACTCCAGGAGTGTGCTTCCCGTTGACCAAGCTGAGACACATGATCCCGAAACAGTCCAGTAACCTAAAATATCCATGTCAGAACTTGTCTTTGTAGTTATAAGAGAGTGAAGAACCCACCAACATAGGACCATTGTCCATAGGTCTGGCGATCTTTGGGAATGGGGATGAGATCTCGATTGCACCACTGAGTGTTGCTATAGTTTGCATCCTCGTCCGTAGGGCTATTTGCAACATCAACATCAGCCAGGCATTCTGGGTCTAGTTGACTTGGGAGGAGACATACCACTCAAGCTTGCGCTTTGCGGTGGCCCAATTGAACGGCATGGTCAGTCGCTGATGGGACCGAAACGACGATGTGGATACTGCTGTGGATTTTCTCAGGTAATTCGTGCATATGAGATCTTGATGGATGGAGACAAAGGATGCTGACTGCAGAGTCCGCCTGATGGAGACACTACCCAGTCGGAACCTGCTGCTTGTTTTCGACCCTCACGAGACTGGACGGGAAGGCACTGCGTTCATATGCAAGCCGTTGTCTGGAATTCTGTCGAAGCGAGACTGTGGAGATGAGAAGTGCTGTGGGGTCTTCGCTTGTCTGAGTGAGTAGCCCGATCAACTTCAAATCTAGGCCGATCATGAAGGGGAAGATAATCTGTGGGGCCCCATGACGCGGGGCAGGGCCGATAATGAAACCCAATCTTCTGGTAGGACAGACGAGTCATGACCAACCAAGTCCGGGGAAGTGTCGCGAGATCTAGATTGCGTCGCATCATGGCTAATAATGCTTGTCTCCATCGTCGCCGTTATCGAACAGTACGCCGATCTAACAGATCCTCATCTAAGGAGTTAAAATCACTAAGCGTTCATAATACCCTTATCTAGTGGTCCAGCTGCATCAGCATCTATCCCAGCCATCACTGCATCTGAGATCGTACAAGCATTTCCGCCAGGGGTAACCAAAAATGGCGCCTCACACTCCGTCCACCGCAACCTTCAAGCTCAATAATGGAAATTTGATTCCCGCCGTTGGGCTTGGCACCTGGCAGTCGGCTGATAGCCAGACTCGTGATGCCGTCAGCTACGCCCTCCAGCATGGGTATCGCCACATCGATACCGCATTGAATTACCAGAACGAGAAGGAAGTAGGAGAGGGGATCCGAATGTCTGGAGTCCCTCGGGAAGGCATTTGGGTAACGACAAAGTTGGACAACCCCTGGCACCATCGTGCTCTCGAGGGTCTTGAAACCTCCCTGAAAGATCTCGGCCTTGACTACATAGACCTGTTCCTGATTCACTTTCCTTGCTCCACGGATCCCAATGACAGTTCTAAGCATCTACCGGACTGGGATTACGTCAAAACATGGTAAGATTACCAGTGCGAGCTGAAGCTTAGCCACGTTCTAACTTGGCTTCCAGGCAAGAGATGCAGAAATTGTTGGACAGTGGCAAGGTCAAGAATATCGGGGTGTCAAATTTCCAGATTAGACACCTTGAGAAGCTTCTAAGTGACCCGACATGCAAGGTTGTGCCCGCCGTTAATCAACTTGAGGTGAGATAGTATTCCTCGAAATAACCCCCATATCATCTGAGTGTGCCTTTTCTAATTCGTTTCTTTAGCTTCACCCATATAACCCATCGTGAGAATATCCTTACCCGTCTTGGCCCCTGCTTCTATTTACTAATTGAGACTACTCTGCTAGACCAAAGCTACTGGACTATTGCAAGTCCAAAGGGATTCATTGCACGGCATACTCATGCCTTGGTGGAAATTCAAGCTCGCCTATCAACAAACATACTAACTTGTCTGATAATTTGGTCATCGAGAAGATTGCTAAGGCAAAGGGTAAAGCATCGGCACAGATTTTGTAAGTGAGATATAGTTCCCCCCATAAGGACGGAGACTAAATAACTATCGAAGGTTGAAATGGGGCCTTCAGAGAGGTACAAGTGTTATTCCAAAGAGCGTCACTCCTTCACGAATCAGCTCTAATTTTGACCTCGACGGTTGGGATCTTTCAGACGCTGAGATGGCAGAGATTGATGCGATTCCGATTCGTGTCAAAGTAGTACAGGATGACTGGATGCCGATTAAGGTCTTCTTTGGAGACGATGAGTAGATTTTGCATCTTAATACATATAAGACTTCTCTGAAAGGCATCTTTAGGAAGGAAAACATCTGCTCATAGCTTTTATAGAGTTGGCCTAGATCTTATGAGATGATCTTAAGTTCAAAGTTGTTTATGGTTTATTGATCGAATGCTCTATGATAACACCTAAACCGGAGTGCGCAAGATCCGTCACTCATTTGGCTTAAAAATGACCTTCTGGACCTGCATCTTGTCGAAGAGATCGTATGCTTCAACAGCCTGTGTCAAAGGCATGAGCTTGTCAAACATAAAGCTAGTCGCATTGGTCCGCGGTGTCAGCGTATGTAAATTCATTTCTTCCTCTAATACATTCACGTTGTTCATTGGATGATCACATACCTGAGCTTCTGGTGGTTCTTGGCTAAGACCTCGAGAGCTTCTGGGAACACTGCACGGACAGGGCATCTGCCCATTTGCACTCTCAGGTTTTTGCTGAAACCCGTTTCGTTAGTAAATGTAGGAGTCGTGGCACTGATACCGCATTTTTTACTCACTCATATGCTTCCGTCGCGGTCCAAGGAACCTGTGTGAAAAGGTGTCAGTATGCCTTAATGGCAGGTGGTGGGAGTTTTCATCGCCTACCTCTGAGTTATGAACTCCGATACTGCTGATTACGCCCCAAGGCCGAATGATATCGTATGCAGTCCTGAGAGCTTGCTTCGCACCCACCACTTCAATGACTGCGTCTGCCCCCCTGCCCTCGGTTGCTTCTAAAACGAATTGTGACAAGTTGATGCCTTCCTTCGTGTAGTTGAGAGGTATGGCACCAAGAGATTTGGCGATTTCTAAACGGCTGTCAACGCCATCAATGGCAATAATCTGCTTCGGCTTATATTCAAGGGCACAGATGATGGCGCAGAGACCGACTGGCCCGCAACCCATGACCACGACCGTCGCTTCCTTGGGGTCGATCTGGTCCATCAGCTTGAACGCATTCTTTGCACCGAAGAAACCAGTTGGGAAGATGTCAGCCATGAGGACGAGTGTCTCCTTGGGGACACCGCTTGGGGCTTTTATCGCTGTGCCGTCGGCATGTGGCACACGGACGTATTCCGCCTGAGCACCGTCTAGATTGGGGCTTCCAAGAAGAAGGGAGGATTCACATCGTGAGGTCCACCCGTGTCTACAGTAAAAGCACTCCATGCTGAATCAAAGGGCGTATTTTGGTCAGCGTAAGCCCAAGACGAGTCGGGAGTAGGCACACCTACCAAGAAATAGTGAATGGGACAACAACCTGGTCACCAAGTCGGATATTTTTGATATCCTCGCCCGCTTCGACAACAATACCAGTGAACTCATGTCCCATCACATACCCTGGCTGAGAAGGCTCTAAGCCACGATAGACATGAAGGTCGCTTTGTACGTAGACCAGTCAGTCAATGGATGCAATTCCATATTGGGAGGTGATGAACCTACGAGCCACATAGTGCGGTTGCCGTAACTTTCACGACAATTTCGTGACCATTTCGCACTATAAAGACCCATTAGGTCTCGGTTGACTGTAATGCGTGGCAGACGTTGAAGGGAGGGATTTTCACCTACCCTTTGGAATTGGGCGATCCTGGACGGAAACTTTCCGCAGACCGTCAAAGACGACGGCTTTCATGGTTTGTTTGTCAGCCATGATTGCCTGACTGACGATAGCTTCTCTGCGTATTCAGGGTTAAAGATTGCTCTGGTTTTGAGACAGCCTTGCGATCAAGTCTCGTCGACGAGTAGATAAATAATTAGCTGTGGAGTGTACGATGCCTGTTACCAGAGTCAATCAATCATCTTCGTCGTTTGTGTTCCGCTCGCCCACTTTTACCCCCCAAAAAGTCTGCTGTGATATCCACCAGTGACTCAGCTTTTCTTGCCTGGCAGCGATTAACAAATGCACAGCTTGTAAGAAGAAGGCCGATGACGGCTAGCCTCTGCAAAAGCTTCATCAGCAGCGGGGTTGTGGCTTCTTGGCTGGCGACGGCTAAGCTCGGCGTATTCAGCCGATTCAGTCGCTGGAGTCTCCGGTTTAGAATCTGGACACCTGGATTATCAGTTGTGTTGAATTGCTGCTCCCCTTCTAGGTTTTTAGGAATAATCCATGGTCACAGGGCCATAGTTTGATTTCATTCATGCATTGAACTAAGCTATCAAAACGTCCAAGTTACATCAATCTGCTATGATACATACGTATACTGCGTGAAATTTTCACGAGTCGCAAGTCCCTAAACTCGTGGTATTTGCAGGAGTCTAGTATGTCGCATTTAGGCGCATCTCCAAATACTCCATGCAATTGACCGGTTCGTACTTCTTTGGCCGATCTGGTCCCCAGCAACCCGGAACACAGTCAATTGTCTTCTCATTATCCGCGCTGACGAAATACGGAATTGAATACCTCTCGCGCGTCATCCGAGGCTTTCCGCCCTCCGTCTCCTCGGCAGGCGGGGCGCGAACGTGGTGCAAGGTCGAGCGCAGCTCGTCGTTGCTCCATCGCATGAGGAAATCACCAATGTTGACGACGATGGTACCCGGAATGTAAGGAGCCTGGATAAACGTGCCCTTTTGATGAATGTCCTCGACCTCGAGGCCGCCAACTTCATCCTGGAAGAGGAGGGTGATGGTGCCAAAGTCCGTGTGTGCGCCGATGCTGTCCACCTTGCCCGTCGCCATCAGCTCCTCCTCGACGGGGGGATAATGCAACAGGCGAATCTGATTGTTGCGCTTCCTGTGATAGTCGATGAAGAAGTCGTCGTCCAGCCCCATGCCGATGGCGATGGCACGGAGGATCTTGAGCTCCATCTCGTAGCATTCGTCAAAGAAGCGGATAAAGAACTCCCGGAAGCCCGGGATCGCCTCCTTCTCGGGCCAGATATTCTGTAGCTTCGCCTGCTTGTCCTCGATGCCCATCTCGTACGACTCCTTGAAGTCGGGCTTCTTGCGCTCCAGGGCGATGCCCTCGTCGTCGAAGACCATCTGGGTCACCTTCTCGCGGCCGATGCCAGAGTAGCCTCGGTGGTACCATCCCTCGGCGGGGTGAGGAACCTTGTCCTTCTCGCTCTGGGGGAGCGCAAAGAACTTTTTACTCTGGTGTGATAATGTTAAAAATTTGTATATCGCAAAGCTAAAGGACGGAGAGACATACCCATGAGAAGGCTTCATCCACTACTTCCTGGGGTACCACGTGGTTCTTGATGTATGCGAAACCGATGTCTTTGAAAGCCTTGTAGATCTCATCGCCAGTCTTGGCAAAATCTTGACGCGAGCAGTTGGGATTCCGCAAAGGCGAGAAGTCAATTACAGGGATGGTAAGGGGCTGCTGGTTCTCGGAACTCATCGTGGCTAATGTGTAGTAAGTAGCCTTGATACAGCAAATAGAGACAGGGATTGAGTAGATGGTGAAATTCGATGATTGCTTTGATTAGTATTGTCTGGAATTGATATCACCAATCGGCCTTTCTGCGCCGGGCGCTATTATAGTAAATAAAGCTACCTAAATTCTAATCTGACACGAAGCTGCAAGACGGTCGCGGCCGGCTCTCGCACTTGATCACATGCCACCTCATGCAAATCATGCTGTGAAAGGTCAATCTTACTGTTGATTACCCGTCGGCCTATCACAAGTTGACTTGGGGTTGCATCGCCAAGATGAAGTTGTGTAGTCTCACTATATCATCGGCCTACCCTGAGAATCAAGGTTCACTGTCGCGTAATGTCATAATGAGGGCCGAGTGAGGGGTAGGCCTACATCACGGCCGATCAACTTGCACACATATCTTAATCCTGGGCGTATCGGAAGTCATAACTCAGTTAAGTAACCACGCCTCGCCGAGTATTAAATGACCGACAGGATCCACTGTCATGGGGCAGGGCATCATCTTTGAGATACGCCGATGGTTATCAAGGAAAGCCGCCGCAATTGGTTTAGCCAACCGAGATCGGCCTATTAGCGTAGCTTCGGGCTATTGAACAGGCAGAGATCTGGGCAGCACGCCGAGGACTGGTGGAACCCTTGGCTACTGTTTTGAAGTTCGCCGTCTCTCTGCATTAGAACCCAGCATAGCGGTTATGCATTGGTGGAGGGCCATTGGACTGAATTGTGAGCAGGACATATAACATACTACTCGGTCAGATCTCATGCTCTATACTCAGGGGTCACATCAACCCGGGGGGATTTCTCTTACTGTCTTTGGTTCGATACTGAATGCATTAAGTTCTTTCTGTTAATTTTGATAACAGAGGCCAATCATGTCTCCATCCAAGATAACCGACCAGCGAGCAAAGTATCGCATCGGGGTCGACGTCGGAGGTGAGATCGAGATAATGAAACACAAAAGTATGGAACCAGCAGCTAATATTGTGTCAGGAACCAACACTGACGCTGTTCTGATTTCTCTTGACCCTGTGTCAATCCTAGCGTCCCACAAAGCACCCACCACTGCCGATATCACCACCGGCATCACCAACGCCGTGCAGGCAGTGATAGATTCATACGGCGCTCACCCATCCTCTATCGCCTGCGTCATCATTGGAACGACACACTTCCTCAACGCCGTGATACAGCGCTCGGCCGCACTTCAGCCCGTAAGCGTTGTGAGACTGTGCGGAGGGCCCACGCAAGGGTTCGGGCGCGACTTGCCCCCGTTCGTCGACTTCCCTCCAGATTTGAGAGCCAAGATCGAGTCTCAGTCATTCTTCTGTCATGGGGGTTATCAGATATCCGGGGAGGAAATCAGTCCATTGGACGAAGCTGAGATTAGAGATGTTGCTAAGCAACTGGCCGAGGCAAAATCCTCCAATATTGTCCTCTCGGGGATGTATGCGCCCATGAATGCCGCCCAGGAATTACAAGCAAAAGAGATTCTGCTTGGTATTCTGAAGCAGACAGGAAGTCATCATTCAAAGATACGGATCACAATGTCACATGAAATCTCCCAGCTTGGCTTCCTCAGCCGAGAGAACGCTGCAATTTTGAACGCTACGTTAAGACCTCTTGCAGAAAAGACAATCCGCGGCTTCCAAAAGGCCGTGAAAGAAATCTTTAAAAATGAGCCGTGTACTCTATACCTCACACAGAACGACGGCAGTGTCCTTAGAGCGGTCGAAGCTGTCGACCTGCCGATCCGGACCTTCAACTCCGGGCCGACAAACTCCATCCGCGGAGGCGAGTTCCTCTGGCGAGCCGCGATGCAGAAGGAAGGCGGTGCGGGCGAGAAGCGGGAGGATGCACTGGTCGTCGTCGATATCGGGGGAACCACGTCGGACAGTGGCCTCCTGCTCCCTAACGGCCTCCCCATGATGAGCTCCCTTACCAGCCTAGTCGGCGGGGTGCGCACGAATTTTGCGCTCCCCGCGGTCGAGAGTATCGGCTTGGGTGGGGGAAGCGTTGTTCGGGAGACGGAAGGCGGAGATGTGACCATTGGACCGGACAGCGTCGCCCTTGAGTTGCTATCCAAGGCTCGATTGTTCGGAGGCGAGACTCTTACTACATCGGACATGGCGGTAGCGGCTGACAGAGAAAACAATGCGTTTGCAAGTGTTGGGGGCGACCCAGCTCGTCTATCTGATGTGAGTGAGGACAGCATTCGAAAGGCCAGGAATACAGCACGGCGAATGCTGGAAGAGCTCATTGACAGGACAAAAATACAAAAGGGTCCCGTTGACGTACTAATAGTCGGCGGTGGCTCCCTTATCATTGATGCCAGTCAGTCTTTCAGTGGTGTGCGAGCGATACGGACCGTCAACGGGGGCGAGGTCGCTAATGCCGTTGGAGCGGCAATATCCCGAGTTTCTGCAGTTGTCGACACTGTTGTTGACACGTCGAATCAGACCGTAAAGCAGGCCCAAGAGAGGGTCAGTGCCTTGGCCATTGAGAAAGTCGTTGTGCAAGGGGCACAAGAAGGAACTGTGGAAGTTGCCGAGGTCAGCATCCTACCTATCCAGTATGCAGACTCAAAAGCTCGTATTGTTACGCGAGCGATCGGGGAGTTGGACACTGTCGTGGCTTCGACTACGGATGATGAGCTCGCCGATGAGATTCTCTCCGAAATCTCCGATGTCCAAGAAAATGGTCAAGTGGTTGGGAAGAATCCTGGCGCAGTTGATGATTTCGAAAGCTCTACGCGGGTTGATGCAATCTCATATCGCCCACTCATCAAAGACGGCCAGTGGATCGTTTCTTCTACTGACCTGGAATACATCGCTGCAGGCTGCAAGGTACTCGGCTGCGGCGGTGGAGGAGACCCATACCAGGAATGCCTCAAGGCGCAGGCCATCCTCAAGGATTCTCCCGGTTCCATCAGAGTTGTTTCAGCGTCTCAGCTTGCAGATGACGCCTTAGTCGGCTGGACTGCTTGCATCGGCAGCCCGGAGGTCAGCATGGAACGGCTAGAAAACAACGAGTGCCTTCAAGCTCATGAAGAGCTCATGAGGGCCACTGGCAGCCGTCCTGTTTCGGCATTCATGGCAGCAGAGATCGGTGGTGGCAACGGTGTTGTTAATCTTGGTGTCGCTGCGCAGAAAAACGTGCCGTGCGTTGACGCTGACTGGATGGGCCGTGCCTATCCGACCATGTACCAAGTGACGGCCAATGTGTTCGGTACATCTAAAGGAGAAGCTTTGGTCCCTACGGCGATTGCAAGCGGTGATGGGACAATGGTTACCATGACAGACACCCGTAACGACCAGATGGTCGACAAGACTCTGCGTGCCGCCTGTGTGGTCATGGGATGTCGAGCAGGCAACGCCGGACCACCCAAGACTGCCAAGGTAGTCCAAGACCAGGCTATATCAGGCACCGTTTCACTGGCCTGGTGGATTGGCCGTGCTATTGCGACGGAGAAGAGCATCACTGACAGGACTCGGTCGATTATTGAAGCTGTTGGAGGGCCACAAAGTGCGGCAGTGCTGGCAGAAGGCAAGGTTATCAATGTCGAGCGTGTTTTGAAGACTGGGCACACATACGGTGTGCTCGAGGTCGACGGTCAACTTGGCGATGGTACCAAGGCCATCATCAAAATTCCGTTCAAGAATGAGAATGCATATGTTGAGGCTTCTGGGTTGGATGGCGGTAACTCCACGATTCTCGCCTCTGTGCCTGATCTGATTGTAGTTATCGACGCTGAAACGGGCGCCGGGCTGGGGACGCCCGAGTACAAGTATGGCTTGCGAGTAGTTGTCATGGCCATGGCAGCATCTCCGAGATGGACTGGGTCCCAACGGGGGATGGAACTTGGTGGCCCAGGATCAATGGGGTTCTCTCACATTGAGCACAAGTCGGTTGGAGTTTATAGACAGCCACGCAGTGTCATTGATACTTTTTCAGGATAGAATCTGAATTGATATCGTCAAATTAAATTCGTAGGTTCTGTAATTTGGTATACCTATTTCGCTTAGAGGCATCATTGCTCGATAACCTGATGCGCATGTTTTGCGTTGGTGTAAGTCGACCTGAAGTATCCGCCCTTGCGTATGATTCCTCATCAGGACTACGGCAAAAGTCAGGATTCTTATGCTCATCACCTCAAGATGATGAGCATAAGAATCTAAGCTCTTCATAAATCATAATCACCTGGCCAATGTACACGTACACACGCCAATCATTTTCCGTACTTCAACTCAGGACGCTGTGGACTATCGACACCATCTGAGGTGGTTGGCTAAGTTAGGCTGCTCTTAGCGGGCGTCAGTGTGGGGTTTGTTCAGTGCTTATCTCTGCTCAAATCCCCGTCTTTTATCTCAGCTTGCCATCCCATTACCAATCCAGACGAGCCCGAATCAACCTCGAAGCGAACAGGCAGCAGGCTTTCACAGCGTCCATTCAGACGAGCTCGCATCGGCAGACCATGTCCTCTCAGTCCGCGCAAGAAGGTGACTCGCCGACAGACCACGGACCAGCCTTCAGAGTCCGGTCTCAATTCGGCGGCGCGAGAGCATGGCGGAGTCGTAAAAGCCGGCCCTGTGATGCATGCAGGCGGCGCAAGACAGCCTGCATTATCGAGTCTGCACCTCCCTGTCAGTGCATGGTTCCTGGTGTCTCCCTCTCTGCTCACCTGACTAACCATCTCAGGTCTGTTTTGCAAGACAAGAGATCTGCCATGCGAATCCAGCTCAAGGCATCCCGTTCTGCGGAGTCGGAGGCGGACGCGCAGCCAGAACCAAGTCAGCGAATTGCCCAGGGCTGACGTCTCCGCGGCGAGCTGTAGCCCAATACCCAGGCATTCATCTGACGACGACGAGGAAGAAGAAGGGTCTTTGGGCCATCCATGTCCACTTCCCGATGAAGGCCAGAGTTGCCCAATCCCAGTGGCTCAGCACGAACCCAGCCTGAACATCTGCTCCGACTTTGCTACCAGTCCCTTTAATGCCGTCGTCTCTCCCTCTCAGATTTCAAGCAACAATGAGAATGCAACTGCAACATTTCATAGTGGACAGTCCCTCTCACCTGCCGAGGCATTCAAACCCAGGACCCATCATACGACCGTGAAGCCAATCCTAGCAGCCCTCGATGACGAACAACGTACGGGTTTTCACATTGGACTCTCCGGCGAGCAAGACTCCAATCTACTTTCGTCGATGCGAACCATAATTGTCAGTGAACACCATACCGTAGACGGGGACATCATGCAGGTCTTCCCGGGTGACTTCAGCCGCGGTGAGCCACCCGTCCACTTCAACCTGGTCCGCGACAGCCTTCCCTCACAGGATAGCCTTCTCCTACAAAAGGCCTCCGATACAATTGAAGAGCTTGTCGGTGAAAGGGGGCCCCTGCTCGTATCATTATACTTCAAACATGTACATCCCATGAACCTCGTGGTTTGCAAGGCGAACTTCCTCCGCGCCTATGCCGCGATGGCGACTTCCGTTCCCGCCTCATTACGCGGTGTCATCTACGGTCTTGGTGCTATGTCATGGAATCGCGATCCTGAACTGAGGCTTCTCCCATCACCAAGCTCACATAGCCTCTTCCGACAAGCGCACTCTGCTCTTCAGATCGAATATCACCTTCCAAATCAGTGGACACTCCAGGCCTCGCTCCTCCTTATCCATGAGCGTCCCGGAGACAATTTCACGATGGAGACGCCAAGAACGTGGATCCTGTCGTCGCAGTCCACGGCCATCGCCCAAATGCTGGGACTCCATCGTGACCCCAAGGATTGGAATATCGCAGCGTGGGAGAAGCGGATGCGGAAGAAACTGTGGTGGTCCTCGTATGTAACCGATATCTGGAGTTGTGTATGCCACGGGAACGCTCCTCATATCAACAAGGACTCCTTTTCAACCGCGCTAGTCGATGTCGAGGAGATGGCGGAGGAGGATGAGATTGAGGAGGACTTGCAACAACAATTTCTAGGGCCCCTCGATGTTTCTGCAAATGTCACAGCACGTGCCCGGTTTGTTGAGTCGGTGAAGCTCAGCCGAATTCTTCACGGGCTGCTTTATTCTTTTTAGTAAGTCTTGTCCACAGAGACGAACAGAGAATGAAATCCGAGCAAGAATTACTGACATAAACTTGGGCAGCTCCGATGAAGCATATAAACGAAATCTTAGCAATCCTTCAGCGGGTGAATCAAAGCTCCTCGAGATTGACGCACAACTGGAAAGCTGGATGCTGCTGCGCGCAAGCTGCGTCGGCAACGCATCTTCCACGAATCCCCGGGACTTTAGCACAAACGGTCAGCCAAAGATCCTCAGCCACGGTGTGTAGCTTGAAATTTGCGACTGACCAGTTCATTAGGCCCGTTACACCTTTCATACTTCGCAGTCAAGGCACTTCTCTTCCGGGCTCTCATGTGGCCCCTAAACGTAGCCTCCAAGGCGGACCCCAAGTCGTCTCTCAGACGGTACTTTAGCAAAGCACTAGGCGAATTCGACCGATTTCTGGAATTTATCATGGAGATCGACGCGCATTCTTTGAACTGCTTCTGGGGAGCACGTGAGTCTTGTTGCCGTTGTGGTCTCATTGTCCCTCTCAACATAGCTAACACTGCATTCTCAGATGCCCGGTCTCAGCTTGTTCTGTGTGGCAATTTCATCGTATCCTTGTTTCTCATGGCCCCCACGCCGGATCAGGTCCAGGCGACCTTCCGCCTGCTTGAAAGCACCCAGTCCGCGCTGAAGATCTGGAGAGAATTGGCGGACAACGAGGATGCCATCTCGCTGCTTCGGCCTACCCTTCTCCGCATCGATACGCTATTCACGCAGGCAGCGCGGATGATGGACACTGGGAATATCTGACAACTCGTGGCTGGCGCCTGCTGGAGAAACTTCTCCGTGTATACGGGAGAGTGATGCCTTTTTGAGGGAAAATGTACCGGTGGATGGAACATGAACCCCCTGGAAATATTGGGTGCATCCGGCGAGGTCGCAAATGCGAGTTTTCACCACACCCTGCTCGGATTCAGCGCGCAACAGTACATGTAAGTAAGCTGGCTTCGCCCTGGGAGTATTTGGAGAGTCTATCCATCCAGGATCAAATTTATGTACTGCTGCAAGATATTTTGGCCATTTAAAGTCGATTCACGAAACCAGATGAGAGACGAAAAGGTTGCCAACGCAACGCGGTCTTGTTCTGAAAGTCACGATACGAGTCCACTCGTGTTTCCTGCTTGCCTACCCTATGTTCGCAACAACGGAGAGGCCTCGGATCAAATCTTTGATTATCAATTCATTCAGCGTGTCATGTTCGTCTACGTTTTGTGTAGTTGTATTTTCATTTGATTTTTTTTCTTTAAATGAACCATTTGCTTGCAAGGGACGGTCAAAGATAGTAGCACAAGGCGACCTCCTACGACTGGTTTCACCCCATGCTACTTAGACAGTGATAGCTCATGTTGGCGTCAATACAAAGTGTGGGCAATCGTAGCACACGAGTTTCTCACAAATACCTCCTGACAGAGGCTCGCGCTCTCGACATATAATCTCGGGTTTCTATCATGATATTCGCGAGTTCGCGCTTCGCTTCCTTTATCTGGGCTTGCCGGAGTTGCGGAGAATCCCTGAATTGGCTTAACACCGTGCACTCCACATCCAATCTCCACCAGGACTTCACACATCACCATAATAATTTGCCCACGGAGCGTGAATCACAATCTTCGTTTCATATTTTGGGTGAGATATCTGACTCAGACCGAGCCCAATATTTACAGGGAATAATTCATCTTGTTTTGGTCTATAAAGCTAGTTTGAACAACAACGCTTCCAATAGTCATGTTGTCTATCATCAATCTGAACAGTGAACACTACATTTTTCGTCCACTACTTGTTCCAAGATAATCAACATGGCTGGTAACATAAGAACTGACCCTGAGTTTGTCGCTTACTTAGCGGCTCATCCCCCGATTGCTCCAACGGAACCATCCGCTATTGTTCCGGGTGCGGACCGCGCTACTACGTCCATCAACCTAGAATTCCAAGCCGCTCGTCAAAGACTGGAATCAGCCGTGGCCGGTGCGATAGCCAAGTTTCTGCCTATTCTGGACTCTGTCAAGGAGACGAAACACCAGATCGAATCATTCGATGGAGTAGAAATCACCATCCATGAGTTTGTCCGAGCAGACCTTCCTGAACTGACAGAGCCTTCACCGGCCATTGTCTATCTCCATGGTGGAGGTTATCTAAGCTGCCCGATTGATAACATCATTCGCCCAGGAATGGCCCAGTTTGCCTGGGATTTTAGCATTCGCACCTTTGGCGTTGAATTTCGATATGCGCCTGAATACCCTGACCCTGTCCCCATCGAGGATTGTTTCGCTGCCCTGAAATGGGTCATGGAAAATGCCGAGACCCTCAAGGTTGACCCGAAGCGCATCGGGGTTTTTGGAGAGAGCGCCGGAGGAGGCCTCGTCGCTGGCTTAGCCCTGTTAGCGAAGGACCGCAATCTCTCGCCGCCCATTGCCAAGCAGCTGATGGTCTACCCAATGCTGGATGATCGCTCCTCAAAGAGACACTTCAATTCGAACAGCCCCAGAGACCAGTCACTCAGCGGAATGGTGGATCTTTTGGATATCTGCTGGTCGGCTTACCTCGGCGCAAAAGTAGGGAGAGCCGAGCCGGAGCTTCAGGATGTCTCCGTCTACGCCGCGCCAGCTCGTGCGACCGACTTGTCTGGTCTACCACCGGCCTATTTAGAAGTCGGCGGGTTAGATTGGTTCCGAGACGAGACGCTGGAATTTGCTGCCAGGTTGGCTAGAGCAGATGTGGATGTGGAACTCCATCTCTATCGCGGTGTGCCGCATATTTTCGAGATGATGGCCCCGGAAATTTCGGTAACGAAGAACGCAAAGGATAATAGGCGGAGAGCTATTCTTGATATTTAAGAGTATGGATAGAGATTACTCAAGGAACTGGGGTTCAAACTCAACCCAAACTGTTGCATCGAGGACAACACAGGCATAAGTCTTGATCGAGAAACGTTTTCAATGGTGTCTAGAATCAGGAATACGGAGGGATCAAGCCAATTATATCCCATACTCTTAGTACTGTAGAAGATGCCGAGACGTACGTTGGTAAACATAGCCGCTACAGTTCAAAGTCAGTGTTCCTCTTCCTCAGGATGAGTCCAGATAAATTTCTTGCGGCCAACCTTTCTTCACTCTCGTATTTCCTACATCTGTATGATACTTTAAAGTACTTTTCACTTCCTATCAACTGCGAAAAAGCATCCATTGAAGTTTGAATTAAGAAGGTAATTTGAGGGTGTATAATATTTGGCGCTATTGTTCTTCTTATGCCCTGGTTGGGGGCCAGACAGACCCTGCTCGAGGGGTAGACCCGGCAAATATCAGAGAAGAATCAAGGCTCAGACATCACTCTTTGTTTCGGGCAATCAAGTGCAGGAACTTTATACTGATTTGAAGTTATTCAGTCGGCATCGTCTAACCATGACGCCACTGGGCCCGGTTGTAGTTAATTCGAGCGCAATATTTCTAGATCCCCCTTTCAAGTATTCCTCCACGATTTCCGCTTCGGCTTCGAATTCAGGGCATTTCAGCTGTCCCATTTTTAGATTGCTGCTTGGTGGTTGCTTAGCAGCGACAATAGGCAGTACTTCCACTTGAGGTGCAGCAGCCAGAGTTGCAAATTGCAGAGAGCTGCCATTGGCGCGAAGCGTTGCAGACGTAGATCGATGAACCTCCGCAGGTATACGTCCCCGGAGAGCAATTGATGCTAGAGATCTGGGGTGCCGGCGCGGCCTCAGCCACAGGGTCGGGGACTGGTGTAGCGGACACCAAAGAAAAGGTGACAATTGAGGCGAGGATAGTAAGGAACTGCATATTGAATTTTATTTTCAGAGAAGTGGGTGATTTAGAAGTTTATGAGTTGAAGATGGGCTCTGAAGTTGACTGCCAGATCTTGCCTGAGTCGAAATAAGTATTGAACAACACGGGGATATCTTGCTGTATTTATACTTGAACCGCTTGGGGTTACAGTGACACTTTTGCCCGACCAACTTCCTGTTTCTTTAACTTAATGGTATCTGTGTAGTTGAAGCCCTGCATTGTGCTTCGTTCCGATGCTTGAGTATTCCCTATAGGCGAAGGCTGGGTCAAAGAACGGAGACGCCTCGCCTTGGCGTTGGAGATGGAACATGCCCCTCACCATATATCAATATTATCCTGTTTTGGGCTTAATCAACAAACTGAAGTTCCAGTCCTCTTATGGATTGTATTGTACACCTCGTAAAACGTCTGCAGCGTAAGCTTCTTGGCGGTCTAGGCAGCCTAAGAGTGCATTTTGCAGTAAAACTATCCCAAGCGGAGACATGACGAGGTAAGAGGAACAATGGAGAGTCGCATCGTATCCGAACTGCGCGTTGCTGGCCAATCACATTCGTAGGCCTTGGATGAAAGTTGGAGATCTAACGCCGAATTCCTTAACCGAGCCGGCCATCGGCAGGTCAGCACTTGCATGTCAACCTGCAGGTGGAGTCATGTTATAGTGTTGACGAAGATACCTCGTTGCCAAGTTCTCACCTATCTTACCAGCCTAACGATGTAACATTAGCGGCGCAATGTAACGCACACTGAACACAGCTTCTTTCAGGATAGCCGACTTTTCAACACCTAAGCAGACGAATTACATACTTTGAATCAATAAAACTTCCTACTAGGTCGGCGGTGAAGAAACGTCGCACGGAAGTTATTGGTCAGGGTATTGGATCCTGGGGATACCCGTAGGGATAATGCACAGATTTATAGTCACCGAGGTCGCATAGACCTAAGACCTATAAGCCTAGGAAAGGACAGGGGGATTTCACGGTAGGGCAGAAAAAAAGGGACTCAATAGTTCACTCAGGGTCTTTTTGTTTTGTTTTCTTGGGATTGGTTGGGACGGGGTACGTACTGGACCTTAGTCATGCAACTAGGTAAGACCAAACAATTGTCTCAGTTTACAAGTATCTCGCATCTGACCTCAGTCTCGAGGTATTTCCCCGCTTTCTAACCCACTCCACAAGGCAATATACGACCTTGCTTGTCGCCTTGATCCTAAGTGCACTCAGTTAGGCACTCCCTCCGAGCTCTAGTTCCGTCATCAATTTAATCAAGATGCCAGTACCCGCTCTATACTACGCTGCAACAGCCTTGCACACCATCTCAATCCCAGGCCATTGGGCATTTGGGGTGGAGCATGTTGACAAGGCAGTGGACCAAATCCCCCCAGAGGAAGAGTACTCGGTCGGAAGAGCGGGGACTAGAGTCTCCTGGGCCTCGTTCCATGGCCTCTTGGCTACTCTCGGTAAGCCCAGCTTGCCCGTTCTTTGACGACCGTGTTTCCGACCAAAGCCTGCGTCACCTACTGGATTTATCTGATTTGTTGATTTTAAAGGTCTTCTGAACTATCAATGGGCAAAGCGAGGGGGCGCTCGAACCGCAGAGGAGAAGCTCATCGTGTTGTCTACCCTTGCAATTGGCTTATATGCGGGACGCCCTTATTTCAAAGCAAGGGCTTATAGCCCGTTGGGTTGCATCTGGGTAGCCCCATTACTCACTGCTATTGCTACCTTCATCTGACGGATCGCATTTTTGGGTTGACAGAGAATCACCTCGTGAACTTGGACTCCCTCTAGGACAGATAGTGCCTTGTTTGAGTTGCAATGGCATGTGTCTTCAGAAAATCACCCAGAAGAGAGATGTGATGACGAATTGAGGTGTCAACCTCATTTCAAATTGTGTCAAGATGAAATGGTCATTTTACAAAATTTGAGAGACTCGACAAGCAAGAAAACACGTCACCTTCGTTCTATTCCGCCAATTCGTCAGCCTGTGCAATTTTTCTAGCATTTAACTTATCTAAAATGGTTATCCTTCTCCTTTCTCCAGCCTCCAGCGTTAGTGATTACTTTGTCATATGAACAGCTTCCCAGGAGAAGACCATCACCTACGAATCCGCAGCAGAAGCAGTGATAGCCGGAACCTACAGCATTGATGATATGAACGTCAAAATTGAGGATTGCTATGTTGGAAGTTATCTTGTTCTTGCAGGCTGATCTTTTTGGCACCTAAGCTGGGTTCGAGGTGGCTAAGATGGCCTCCACACGGTAAATCGCAGGATAATATGGCCAAATGCAACAACTGCTGGTGCAATGAGAATGATGGAACCCAGAAAAGACGTATGGGTCAGGCCAATACACTATAACTTTCTAACCAAACAGCTTTAGACTTCTAAGCTAAGCAGCCCGGCGGTCCTTGCCACTCAGAAGATATATCGTAGCCCGAAGATCAATCAAAGGGTCGTTCGAGGGTTCGATGCCGTCGACTCTCGGCACGGGGTCAAAGATGATATGTTTCTGCTCGGCCTCGTTGTTCTCCTTGATCTTATTCAAGGAGACGGTGCCCAGCTTGACGATCTTGCGATCCTCCGGCCATATAGCGGTTGCGTCATCTGTAACGTCGCCCTCTTCGGCAATTTGAGCTACGATGTCAAAATCAATAGAGCCAGTCTCCACAATCCCTGGCAATGCGTCGAAGAGATAACCGTCGGGTTTGGTCTTGACATCCTCATCGTCCAGGTGCTTCTCCCCCGCCTTGGGTACAAAGCGGTAGCGGATGTACGTCTCCACCGATTCCGCATTGATGAACTTGAAGGCATGAATACCGAAGTATTTCTGGGTAGCCAGACTGACGGGGAATTTCTTGGGAGCCGTGACAGCCCTTGCCGCTGCAGGATGCGTGGCAACGAACTGCTCCACGGTCCCATCAGCGACACCTCCAAAGAAGCCAAGGGCCTCCTCAGCGTTCTTGACTGGGAAAAAAGGGCTGGCGACTGTGATAATGTCCGTGTGCACGCGTCGGGGAGTTTCCTCCAATTGAAAGCGAATCGCGAACCCATTAGCGATTGAATTTTTGTCAGTGTCGGGCAACTGTGGGAATCCGCTGGCATTGGAGAACCGGCCTACAACTGGTGTTGAGGCACGCTTGAAATGAGGGGCTGAGGAGAGGGATGAAGCCTCCGCGGTCGGTGTGAATGTCCCCTCCAAGAGTAGCCCTTTGGCGTGCGCTATTTACCCAGTATTAGCATGTGCACATGGTAATCATTCATCTATTCCTCAATCTTAGGCCTCACCAGGTCTGACTCCAGGATTTTTGCCAAAGATCTTACGAAGAGTCACAATGAGCTCTTCGCTGTTCTCCACGATCTTCTTATTGTCCGAGAGAGGCATGTTTAAGGCACTGCTTCTGTAATCTGTCAAATTGTGGTACTGACGGTCGAAATCTTATATAAGAATGAAACGGGTGTTTTATTTTATCGCCAAAGAGAGCGGAGTGAGTCCTGCCCTTGAAATGGAAGAAGCGTGAGACTGAGGTTTATATACAATTTTGATCCCTAGAGCAAATTCGTAAGGGCATAAAGATGCCGAGTGCCGGCTTTGGCTTGAACTAGCTGAGCAAACATGCACCATCCTGAATGGAGGGTAACATGGCATTTGTGACAATTTTCATATCTAGTCAAGAAGGATGAATCCTAGATAGCGTCATATGTGCGGTGGATGGCTCCAGCCAATACCGTCAATGAGATTTATCATCTACAGCTGTTTAGTCTACATGACAAAGCTGACCTGAACATGTCGTAAGCATCAGCTCCAATCAACCCAACCTATCAAACCAGCTAAAATAAGCCAAATCACACCTTGCGGTGGATTGCCAAATCAATCAACTCGAATCAAAGTCAAGGCATGGTTGATTTCTTACTTTTCATGTTCGTTAGGTTACAAATTTCCTGATCTTGGGGGATTCCTGGCTGTATTTCTCAGGTACCACTTTCATCACCACATTGGGGAGCCTCTGCTCACCACTGGACCCTTGCCTTGCGCACTCCATTCATTTGAATTAAGATGAATACGGATTGATTCAGACGCTAAGCATTAAGCGAGTTCTCTAGATCTACCATTCCCTCTCTCACCCACATGATCCCTACTAACACTAGTCAGCTTGGTAACTCTTAGACAGCTCCCTCTAACGGCGGACTAACGAATGTCTTTCCAGAAATGGCACCAGGCTATTGAGAGATGATGAAAGCATGGCTCCTATGGCAATTTAGGTTCCCCTCATCCCATATAAGCTCACTAAGTAGCGTCTGTATCATTCTTGTTATTCTCCCATCCTTGCACCATATGTGGAATGGAGAAGGTGCTTTCTCTCATCGTGAAATAAGAAAATGGAGCGTTGAAAAGAAAACTATCGTGACGAATATCCATAAAATAGCGACTTGTCTAACAGCAAACATTAATATTTCTTCAAATGTTTGGAGAGTCATATATGGATGGCTTCTAAAATCTTTAAATGGTTCAAGAATGTATAAGCAAACCGCTTCTATCGCTAGAAATCGGCATTAAAAAGCTATCAAATCAAGATTAAAATACAGAATATGATGTTGTAAACTATGCTCATATCAACTTGCAAGCATCAGTCATTCTCAGTCTATGTTCGCTCAAAGCCAACCTGTCCATGCAGTGAAATGAGTTTTGCCGCCCGCTGCGGAAATATACAATGCGGAAGCCCCTCTTGTCATAATCATGTCAAAGATAACTTCTTTGACTATCAGAAGCATAGATTCACCGGACGAAGATAATCCTCTCTCCCCATTTGCTTAGTCTTTGTTGTGAGTCAATATCACCCGACTAGTTGCAGAATTTCATCATGCAACGAGAATCTGCGTGGACGTTGCTGTTTGTGGAATATCGTGGTCGGACAGCTTGTGCTTGATGATATCCTTTGATGGCTCCGCGAGGCTGGGATTTTCCTTGGTATCGTTGGTCGTGTCCGCTTGTTCTCCGTCGCTGGTCTCCTTCGGTATTTCTCCCTTGACCTCCTCAATGGAAACGGAAAATGCTTCCAGGCTAGTGTATTGCCTCTTTATCTCCTCAGAGGATTGTCCTGGTGAAGCCACGGATTTGGGCTGATCCTTGACCTGATTTTGTTTGTATGGAAAGTCCGGGCTGTTCCCAACAACTTTATAGACCTTCCGATCAGCCCCCATAGCCACAGCTGCCTTAAACGTAAAACTTTGCCCTGTGCTATAGATCTTTTTGGCATATTCGATCAAGGCAGCATCTGCAGCCTTGAAAACGGCACCATCGATAAATGCGCCGCACTTTGGCCAGAGGGTGTTTGGCGCAAGCCCGACGACCAATGTGACGGAAACAATTCCGCCCAGCTCAGGATGGAGACTCAAATTTCTCATCAGCGTCAACTCCTTCTCGAAGTCATCGTCCGGGATAAACATTTTGAAAGCCGCGGAATTAGTAGTCGTGTGCACCTTTTTCGGGTCTCGTACAACGATAAGTCTGGTTGGGTGGAGGTAGGGCTCCTCCCCGACAGAAAACGAGAGTTCTCCTTCATCCCAGACTGTGCCGTTGGGGTACTCAAGTGAAACCCGCTGTACGACAGTTCTTAGCATGAGCGGCTGGAATATCCCCCTTGCCTCGTCCCCATCCTCCAGGGCATTCTCCGCAAGCTCGTCGTTGGATTCTTTGAATTCACTGCTTGGGCTGTCAGATAGCATCGTGATCGTAGGCTCTGTCGTCGTGGTATTAAACTTGCAGGTGACCATATCAGATCCCATGAATATGTGAACCAGGGCGTGTTTGACGTTGACATCGCCCTTTTGCATCAGAGACAGCAATCTGAGCGTCGCTTGCTGGGCACCTTTCATCTCCGGTGTATTGAGAGCACTGCCAGCTGTCAACCATAACTTCTGGTCTGCCTCGTCCTTCAGAGGTGGAGCTATGACCAGTGCGAGAGAGTACAGTAATCCGGTCTGATCGTCATCCAAGGTCACAAAGTATCTCGCGGGGAGCTGGCACGGGCCGTGGCTAGTGGGAAACTCGAACTTGCCCATGTCTTCGATTGTGCCTGCGCTCGCACAAGCAGGGTGTTCCTCATCAAGCCACCTGCGTACGCGGACAAAGGAGTCATCTTGGAATGCGCTTTTAAACTCGGTTTCTTTCCCGGATGTGACGGCTGCTTCCCATTCTCTCTGGACGATTTGGGGCCATGATGGGTTTGTCTCCCATTCTACTTCGTCTTCGGGTATTGGTATTAATGGTGTTGGTTTTTGCGCCGGTGCTGGTTTGGTGGATGTGTCTAGCACTCCGGCCTTGACCGGCTTCGGGCCTGGACCTTTTCTCGGAGTAGAACTAACACATCCCATTGCGACAAATAGTCTCCGTTTGAAGCGACGGAGGGTATGGATGCTTCTCAAGACCAAAATAGAATGAATGGATGTGATTAGTGATCAATCGGATTAAACGAGCGACGTTGAAGGGAGATCCGGTCCCCCGGCTTTTGGTAGAGATCGCCCGTCGGTCTTCAGTGCATTACCTCTAGATCTCATGCATGCCAGATTTAATGTAGCATGGCGTCTGGGAGCTTCTGACTTGTCATATCTCCCTCCTCGTCATGTCGTAAACCGTAAATGGGGAATGGAAGCGCAAAATGAGAGAAAACAACTTCGCCGCCGCCTGCGCGTCCTCGTGATAGATCAAAGAGATAAGTAAACAAGACAGGAGAGAAAGGAAGGACCGGTTGCTATTTTGAAGATCTCGCCACCGAGCCCAGTCCACAATTTGTGGACCTTTGGTTCACGCAAACCACTCGGAACAATCTCACATGGCAGGGGGTTGTTAGAGAACGGGTTGTTGGTTTGGCCCCCTATTCTTGTCCGCCAAAGGCTCGCTGACATTTGGGGCGAGGAAATAGGTAGAAACCGGCCAGCAGCATTGTATGACAACCTTATACAACGAGTGACTTCAACCTGAACAATATCAGCAACTTCTTGGACAATTTTCCTGGTTGTCCGCCTCATACGATGAGGGGGTTGAGCTAACTAGTTCCACAGGGTCACGGACATATTTCCCCGTGTTAATAACGCTTCCTTCCTAGTTACTACTAGGTAGTATTATCAAAGGGGCATCCTGTATTTTATTCAAGACTTTGATACCAGGCTCAACGTCACGAGCATCTCATGGGATAAATTTATACTAGTGAGCTATGTAGGTAAGGAATGTATTGAGTGTACCGTGGGACATTCCAAGGCGACACTAGATCTGAATTTTCTCTTCGACTGAAATTATCAACGATTTTCTGCATGTGTTCCATTGTAAGTCAATATCCAATTCATATTGCGGACCGGCCATCCTGTTAGTTGCGCTGCCAACCTAGTGCCGGGTTATTATGGATGCAGAGAATACAATTAAATATTGAATGGGGCGATTGACTAGATACCAGTCTCGCAGTTAGATTATTAAAGTGATGGTAATCTATCTTGTCGTCCCATCAATTCTTGGTTTGGTTGGCTGGCAATCCATTGCATCCATCAAAATTCACGGTCCAAGTTGAAGTACGTCATCAGCACATCTGATACATCTCACTAGCTCACCCGGAATACGAACTCTCTCTTTTCACAGTCCCCCGCATCCTCTGCTCCTCGACCGCAATGAAGCCCGACGTCAAATTTCTAGATCCGAAGGCTCCGGTGGCCATCAAAGTGCAAGCCGCCATCAAGAAAGGAGACTCGGATACCCTGCAGCAGCTACTCGACGAGCAGCCAGGTCTGGCAACCATCCGCATCGGTGACGCCTCCGAAGCACGCTCTTTGTTGCACACCGCGACAGACTGGCCAGGTAAAATCCCCAATGGACCGAAGATTATCAAAATACTCGTGGACGCTGGCGGGGATGTAAACGCAACATTCATTGGCCGGCATACCGAGACGCCTCTCCACTGGGCGGCGAGCAACGACGATGTGTTAGCCCTCGACATGTTGCTCGATCTTGGTGCAAATATCGAGGCTGAGGGAGGAGTAATTGGCGATGGAACACCATTAGCCGATGCGAGGGCCTTTCTCCAATTGAACACGGCTAGAAGGCTCGTGGAGCGTGGTGCAATCGTGGACCTACAAGACGCTGCGACTCTCGGACTAATGGACCATCTCGAGAAGGAATGTGTAGCACAGCCTGGACCACAGCAGGAAACCATAAACATGGCATTCTGGAACGCTTGCCATGGTGGACAGCTCCCTGCAGCCAAGTTCCTTTATCAACAGGGCGCCGATGTGAATTACATCCCCCCATGGGCCGACAACACGCCACTGGCTGAAGCGAAAAGCACAGGAGACGATGGACTACTCTCATGGCTCAATAGTATTGAAGCCCAAGCTTGACTTCCACTTGATACAAGAACTCAATTTACTAAGCTATAATTTGAACTTAAGGTCCTGCTGAATGATTCTTGCATGTCATGTTGTACTTTCGTAAAGTAAACTCGGTTTAGCTTTTAAAGGGTTAGAAAAGGTAATCTGTACCGAACGTCCCACGTAGCGAAACAATATCGAATGTATATCTCTGAAGGTTGTCAAAGATAGATACCATTGCCGTGATAGTTATTGGAGTCTCACAAAGGGACATAATGACCGTTTGACTGTCTTATGCTAACTGGTTTTACTTGATAGGTCTTGACCATTCAAAAATCTCTTCATGTAGGTACCTATAATTATAAAATTCATACGATCGGCTATGTTCGGACGACGTCAACAGCATGTCTACGAGAAAGTATTACGGCTAAAGACTGGTATCAGGTACCTATAGGTAATTTTAGGTATCTAATATAGAGAATAGGTTTAAAAAAAATACCTAAAAATTTATATAGATAAATCTAGATATAGATTAATATCTAAATTTATCTATATTAAATTATAGATAGATTTATTTTATTATATAGGTAAATTTAGATAATAATAAGAATACTCTAGAGTACTATATTAAGAACTTTTATTTTAGTATAAAATAACTAGCTAGATAAGTATTCCCTCTACTAGTAAATACTAATAAACTAAGTATTTTCTTTATTTTTATTATTAAACTTATTAGAACTCTTATTAAACTCCTTAGAATTCTTATTAGACTCCTTAGAACTCTTATTAAACTCTTTAGAACTTTTATTAGATTTAGAAAAAGAATTAGAAGAAGGATTAGGAAGAAAGTTAAAAGAAGGATTAAAAAGAGAATTAATACTAATACTAATAACTAAACTATATTTACTATTATTATATCTACTATCTTTATTACTATACTAGTTTATACTATATAAAGAAATCAGATTATAATTATAATTATAATTATAATTATAATTAACTCTCTAAGCTTTATAAGCTTTTAAAATCTAAATTACTTTAAGCTTTCTTTATTACTCTCTTTTAGTATTATTATTTATTTTTTTATTATAAGCTCTAATATATTAAATAGTTAGATATATTAATTAGACTAATTTAATTAGGATAATTAATTAAATATTAGAAAGTTATTTATTAGAAATTAAACTAAGAAACTTAATAAATAAGTTAGAAAATAAATTTATAATTTCTTTTAATATTATAAAATCCTACTTTTAAATAGTAATTTATTTT